CAGGGAGCTGGAAGCAGGGCTTGATCCCAGGACCCAGGATTGAGGCCTGAGCGGAAATCAAGAGTTGGCTGCTTAACTGACTGAGCCACCCAGGCGCTCCAAAAAAAAAAAACCTTTCATTTTTTTCTTTAGCCTTAAAGCAAAATAGTTTTCTGATATGTATAATTTAGGAAAATCTTCAGAGAAAATATTTAAAGCATACTCTCTGAGAGGAAAGCGATTTTCAAAAGATCTATCAGTAGAAGCAACTCCAAACCCACTGATCATTTAGTGATATATCATCCCTCATGTTGTTTCTTTTTCTTTTTTTTTTTAGAAACATATCTTTACTTAGTGTCTGTTTCTCCCGTTAGGACTTCATCTTTATTTTTTTTTAAGATTTTATTTATTTATTTGAGAGAGAGAGAGAGAAAGCGAGAGCAAGAGAGCACAAGCAGGGGGAGCGGAGGGAGAAGCAGGCTCCCCGCTGAGCAGAGAGCCCATGTGGGAACTGGATCCCAGGACCCTGGGAGCATGACCCAAGTCAAAGGCAGAAGGCAGACGCTTAACCGACTGAGTCACCCAGGTGCCCCCCTCATGTTGTTTCTTTATGCATTTTTCTGGAAGAAGGCTCATAAGAGTTCATTAATTCTCAGTGATAAAGATCCACACTGATGGCAGAAAAGAGCTTTGCTTTGGAATTAGATCAGCTTAGGTTTTCCTACTTACTAGAATTAGGTAACACTCTTTATCTTTCTGAGCCTGTTTCCGATCTGCAAACAGGGATAACACTATTACAGAGGGATGCGTTTAAATTAAATGATGCACATAACCTTCCAGATTATAAGAACATGCCTAATAAATGTTAAGTGATGTGCAAATATTCTGCTTCCTTGAAATGTATGAAACCTGTTTTCATGCTCTTCACACTATTTCTTAGCTAATGGTCTAAATATCAAGGTAATGTTTAGTTAAAAGTGATTTTTGTTCTGCCACTGTCCATTTCTATTTCCAACATATTCTCCTTGATGAATCAAATCTCCGTATCAGTAATACTTATCACATAAGCTATTACTGTTCACATTTTAAGATATTTCAATGTGAGATAAGTTATCACTCAAAGGGATGGCTAAGCTGGCTTTGCCAAGAATTCAATGAGATATTAATACATCTTATTCAGAACTAACTTTCAAAGAAGAGGAGAGCAATGATTCAAGATGTGAAGAGAAAAAACTTTTTTTTTTTTTTTTTACGAAATGTTATTTTTCTTTTGCTTTGGTGGAGAAAAAAGTTTATAGGTAACTTATAATATAGTTATATTTATAATATAGTTATATATAATATAGTCAATTTATAGCTTATAGTCTAACATTTTGTGGTTGGTTTAAAAGAAAGTGTCAAATTTACAATAATAAATCAGTCTTCTTTAATCAGTAATGCAGATTTACAAATATTCTTTTCTGAGAGTAACAAAAGGAAGCACTGTTTTTCCTTCAAGTCCACAGACTCTGTTAGTTGTAAACACTAGTAACTCTCAAATGCAAACAGAATCAGTATTCCACATGTGGCAATCAGGAAACAACTTGTGTACCAACTATCTTAACAAAAGGCATGCAAACACACTAAATGAGTAGTGAAAGTCAAAATGATGCCAAACGTGTATGAAAACAGAGCATACAGAATTGTAAATTATTTGGGGAGATTAATTATAATATTCCTTCAGAAAGATTTGTGTGAGTTATTATTTAAACACGGAACATAGGGGCAGGCGCATGGGTGGCTCAGTCAGTTAAGCGATGGGCTCTTGATTTTGGCTCAGGACATGATCTCAGGATCGTGGGACTGAGCCCCACGTCGAGCTCAGCACTAGACATGGAGCCTGCTTAAGATTCTCTCTCTCTCCCTCTGGCTCTCCCCACTCCCTCTCTAGTAAAGAAACAAACAAACAAATAAATAAATGGAGATCACAGTCAGATGATCTAGGTTATCAAGCTGATACTATAATACTACCAAAAATTTGCATGTGATAATATGTTATAGGAATAAATAAAATTTTATAGGAAGAACTAATTAAATGAATTAGAAATTTCATTTTATACTCTGACATAAATATATATATATATCAAGTTGGGTTTTCTTGACTAGATGAACAATAACTATAGATAAAAGGAAATTGTGTTTGTTGTTGCTGTTCTTTTTCCAGAGTGTAAAACACTTTTTCTTTCCTTTCCTTCTTTCCTTCCTTAAATTCCATTAATTAACATATAATGTATTATTAGTTTGAGAGGTAAAGTTCATTGATTCATCAGTCTTATATAATATCCAGTGCTCATTACATCCTATGCCCTCCTTAATGTCCATCACCCAGTTACCCTATTCCCCCACCCCCTCCCCTTCAGCAACCCTCTGTTTGTTTCCGATGGTTAAGAGTCTCTTATGTTTGTCTCCCTCTCTGATTTAGTCTTGTTTTATTTTTCCCTCTCTCCCCCTATAACCCTCTGTTTTGTTTCTTAAATTCCACATATGAGTGAGATCATATGTTAATTCTTTCTCTGATTGACTTATTTTGCTTAGCATAATACCCTTTAGTTCCATCCATGTCGTTGCAAATGGCAAGATTTCACTTTTTTTGGATGGCTGAGTAGTATACCATTGTACATATATACCACATCTCCTTTTTTTAAAGATTTTATTTATTTATTTGACAGAGAGAGAGAGAGAGCACGCACAAGCAGGAGGAGTGGGAGAGGGAAAAGCAGGGTCCCTGCTGAGCAGAGAGCCCAATGCAGGGCTAGATCTCAGGACCCTAGGATCATGATCTGAGATTATGCTTAACTGACTGAGCTACCCAGGCGCCTCTATATACCACATCTTCTTTATCCATTCACCTGTCAAGGGTGCTCTGGGCTCTTTCCATAGTTTGGCTATTGTGGACATTGCTGCTATAAACATTGGGGTGCAGGTGTCCCTTCAGATCACTACATTTGCATCTTTGGGGTAAATAGCTAGTAGTGCAATTGTTGGGTCGTAGCGTGGCTCTATTTCCACAGAGTGTAAAACACTTTAAAAAGGAGGGTGGGGATATGAAGATGTATTTATGGACTTGGGAAGATAGCTCCATGGACTCTACCTCTGTAATATAAACATTTATTCTAGATCTCAAAGAGAATTTGGATCAGTTATTTCAACACACCCACAAAACAGTCATGTTCAAACATGAAGAGATGAAGAGATACCAGTTTATATTTTTTTCAAACTGCAAGAAGAAACCTCCTTTCAGTTTTCATCAGAACCCCAGTTTTCCCATTACTAGGGTCCACAGTTCTTAAGCAAAACAGTACAGCACTTACATTAGTGCTTTCTCCTGCTATGAATAGCTTCCCAGTCTTCTCATCAGTGCTCATCCCTTCTCTTAATATGTTGGTCAAAATTCAGCCATCAACCCAGGAAATTTGTTCCCAGTTTCACTGCTGGTACCTGATCATGTTATTTCAATCACTTTAGCATGTTTATACTACCTACTTCAGCAGGTAGGTAATATATGTGATATGTGAGATTTAAATAAAAGAATGCCCATAAAGTACTTAATGCTCAGCTTCAAGCACAATATGAATATTCAGTAGCTGCTGGCTAGCATTATTATTATAGCATTTACATTAAAACTAATCTGTACTAGTTGCTTTTTGATCCCCCAAATGGGGTAAAGGAAATAAATGGACATGTATTGATTATCTACAGTGAGAGGCAGTGCAGGGTATATAGAATTAGTGGTTCTCAAGTTGAAATTGACCTGGATTTCCATTCCATCTCTGTCACTTATTTAGACTTCTCTATGCCTCAGTTAAATGGAGATAATAGATATTTCAGGGACATTGTAAGAATTAAAAATAATTGTAGGGCTCAGTCAGTAGAGCATGTAACTCTTGATCTTGGGGTTCTGAGTTCAAGCCCCACGTTGGGTGTAGAGATTACTTAAAAATAAAATCTTAAAATAATAATTATTATAATAGTGTTTGGATCCAGAAGAAGTATTCATTACCTCATTTAATGTAAATTATTAGATAATATTTTGATGGAGTTTTGAGAATCTGATAACAGCTCTGTATCCCTTCCCTTAAATATAAACAAATAAATAATTCTTCACATCATTTTGCATGTAATTCCAAGGCTTTGTTAATATAAAAACCAATCAAAACCTTTAGTTGGCACAAACAACTCAGAAAAACTGTTACGGGGAAAGAACTATAGTTGTTCTTAAAACAGAGACTATCATCCTGGAGAAAGACAAGCAACATTTAAATGTCAAAATTTGGGTCAAAACTCTGAGCTTGCAGAATGGTATCTCCACCAGGTCATGATTTGACCAGGATTGAAATTCCTGCCCTGACTGTCCTCAACCCAGGCTTTAAAACCTGGCAGATAATCAAGTGCAACCTGTAGCTGAACAGCCTCAGTCACTTGTCTATAAAATGGATACATTAATACTATTCTGACAATAGCATTATGAAGATTAAGTAAGAAAGCACAAGTAAGCTCTCCTAGCACCTGTGGGCCAAGAAATAAACGTTTCAGCTTTCATTTTTCTTTTTCCTTCTTGCTTTACTCCTTTCCTTCCTTGCCCTGAGTTCTCATTTTGTTTCATGTTCCACAATGGTGAAGTCATCATAATGCTTTTACTCCAATAATGTCATATAATTTCTAGCATAATAAACAAAGAAAGCATAAGAAACGTGATTGAGGTAAATAGTGCCATTACTACTTCATTTTATTAACCTCATTTGTCTAGAAATACTAGTTGTTCATCATCCATGGGCACAAACTGGATGTGTATCAAATATAATAAAGCTCTGGAAAATTATCTCCAGTGCCATTTGGGGTTCCATTTATCTACTATATAGCTTTCCTAAAACTAAACTATCATTTCTAATCCTCTTGTTTTTATACCCTAAAACATGGCTTCTAATTAATGGTTATATTGGCATTACATTCATTCCTCTTTGCTTTTTCTCTGATTATAACAGGTACTGCTGGACAAGTTAATGACATGGGGTTTCTGAATACAAGGAAGGTCAAAGAGGAAAAGAGAATGAGTGAGGTAAGATATTCACATATAGAACTAGTGGAGCTTTAGCAATAACAAAACCAGTGAAATTATAGATAATTAATCAGGAGTCAGGAAAACTTTGTGATGTGTTGCCATTAATTGGACAACTAGAGTAAACAGTCTCACAAACATTAAAGAGCAAAGAGTGGAAAATCTGTCTTTCCTGTCAGCTTCTTTTGCTTGTTATCAGAGCAATTATCTCCTAGTTTGTGAAACAGTAACAATTTATGTTCGAGGGGCGCCTGGGTGGCTCAGTCCCATTAAGCATCTGCCTTCAGCTCAGGTCATGATCCCAGGGTCATGGGATCGAGCCCCAACCCCCCTCCCCACCTCAGCATTGGGCTCCTTGCTCAGTGGGAAGCCTGCTTCTCCCTCTCCCACTCCCCCTGCTTATGTTCCCTCTCTCGCTGTGTCTCTCTCTGTCAAATAAATAAAATCTTTTAAAAAATTAAAAAATAACAATAACAAAAAACAATTTATCATTCGATTTAAATGTTATCAGTGTAAGATATGGAGATATATGAAACCTATAATACTTTATTCATAAACTTAGTATTACAGCATCATATATTCCACAGTAAAAATGATTTAGGAGAAATGTAGAATTCATGCAAAGGACAATAATTTTTAAACTTAAGAAAAATTTTAAAAAGATTGCTGACTATGTCTTGGCATACTTTCCTTTACAGAATATGTTAGAGCCAGCACTTTTTTTTATTAAGAGCTACTGTACTTTAGAGAAAGCCTCTATTCATATTCATAATCATCAGGCAAATCAAGGAGCTGATTTGCTTAGAATTAGTAACTCCTTTTTTCTTCACTTCCTTTATTTTTTTTAAAGATTTTATTTATTTATTTGTTTGACAGAGAGAGAGACAGTGAGAGAAGGAACACAAGCAGGGGGAGTGGGAGAGGGATTTGCAGGCTTCCTTCCCACTGAGCAGGGAGCCCAATGTGGGGCTCGATCCCAGGACCCTGGGATCATGACCCGAGGTGAAGGCAGACGCTTAACAACTGAGCCACCCAGGCTCTTAATGAAGAAAGGAACATCTGACAAGAAAAAATAAAATCCTTCTTTTGTTAAAAAAGATGGAATGTTAGAAAATTAATTTATTTTTCACAAATAATGACCACTACTAAATATTGACCCATGTATATTAAACAGTCTTCTTTTGCTATCCGATTCTAAATATGAAATGCATCCATGTTCAGGAATCATTTCAAAGCAAATGTATTTTGGGTTTTTTTTTTTTTTTTGGTGACTGAATAACCATAATGAGTCCTAAGATCAATCTGTTTTAATTTACATAGCTGCTAAATATAAAATAAAATTTAGAGGTCTTTTCACTTTTTCATTTTAACGTTGTAAGGAGACAAAGAAAACTGTGCTTTCTATCATATTATAGTTTTGCTCAACTCCTGATGCCAAAATCCTTGACAGGTAGTATTATCTATCTGTGTCCTTTCAGAACCTCCTTACATACCAGTCCCATTAAAAAAAAAAAAATCAATAGCCTTAGGAGACCTTTCAAGAAAGTCATTGCTATTGATTCATTTCTCAAATACGATCCAATTTAGCAATAAAATGTGTCGAACTTTATAGCTTCTTCTCAGTGCATTAACTTTGGATGTCTTTTCCTAGATGACAGAGATAGCTTCTATACAAACACACATGGATAGGGGCGCCTGGGTGGCTCAATCGTTGGGCATCTGCCTTCGGCTCAGGTCATGATCCCAGGGTCCTGGGATGAGACCCGCATCGGGCTCCCTGCTCCACAGGAAGCCTGCTTCTCCCTCTCCCTCTCCCACTCCCCCTGCTTGTGTTCCCTCTCTCACTGTGTCTCTGTCAAATAAATAAAAATAAAATCTTAAAAAAAAAAACACTAAAGAAATCAGACTGAAGTACAGACTTTAGTAAATGATAATGTATTAATATTTGCTAATTAACTGTAACAAATGTAACATAATTATATAAGTTGTTAGTAATAAAGGAGAATGGGTGTAGTGTATATGGAAACACTATACTATCTTCTCCAATTTTCTGTAAAATTAAAACTGTTGTAAAAAATAAGTCTATGAAAAAAGTTGTTTTCTTGTTTTATAATTATGTGACTGTATTTCTTAATAAATATGTAAATTTGCTTTACTTTCATTGATTTTGGGGTTAAAGAAAAAAAACTATCTCTGAAAGGATCTGTAATTCCAATTCAATAAGTAATGATTCTTGGTATTATCTTCTGGAAGAAGCATGGCATAAATCAAAGCAAATTGTCTTTAAATGCTGAATTCTTTTCAGTGCTTCACCTTTTATATGACTAATGTGTACCATGGGCATGATTCCACTTCAGAGGGCAGTGGAATTGCCTCTGAAGTTACAATCATAAACACTGATTGTAGGCTGTCTAAAGTACAGTGAAATATTAATGGAAGATATCATAACTTTGGTTAATGTATTTTATGTTTTCAAAATGATGTATTATTATTTCAGTCTATAAAGCCTTCGCTGTTATATATTTCCTACCCACCTTTTCCCAAAACAACGTAAGAAAATGATACTATCATTTGATTGTATGTTCATCAATTTAAATTGAAGTTTGTTGGCACTTGTAGCTGCCAGTGATACTGACATGGGTGGTACTTCTGTAAATCCATTCCGTGGCAAAATATGACCTTCACAAGGGAAATCTTTGACACAGTAGGTCCCTAAAAGTCATATGACATATAGTTTTGTAGCTAGATTACCAAACGTTTTACTTCGAGGCAAAATAGAATGTAGAAAAGGCCATCAGAAATGCTCCATAAATTTAGAGTACATAATGTCATTTAATATGATTGTACCTCAGCATTCTATCTTTAATATGGCGAATCCCACATTATTTTTATTGGTGCCAAATACAAAAATCATCAAGGAATTTTATGCTTAACTTTTAAAAATAGTTAAAGTAAATTATTTAACAAGTTCTCCTTTGGGTGTGTGTTTTTTTTTAAGATTTATTTATTTATTTTAGAGAGAGAGAGAGCACAAGCGGGGGGGAGGGGCAAAGGGAGAGGGGGAGACAATCCTCAAGCAGACTCCCTGCTGAGTATAGAGCCCAACGCAGGACTCGATCCCAGGACCCCGAGATCATGACCTAAGCTGAAATCAAGAGTTGGATGCTCAACCAAGCCACCCAGGTGCCCCTCTCTTTTGCATTTTTCAAAACAGAGCAGTTCTTTTTAGTCTGACCCTGGACACAAAAGTGAGTTGGCCATGTTTTTTCCCATGGATCCTTTTCTCACCTGTTCCACTGTGTCATGTGTTCTACCTTCTCAAGAAATAGCATTTAATCATTCATCCATGCACTCATCTAATCATTCAATTATTTATTAAATGAATTTTTATTGAACACCTACATAAAGCAAAAAAAAAAAAAAAGGAAGAAAACTAATCTGAGTTGCATTGAAAAGTAATGAACTCAGTTAAAATCTTTGCTGATAACAAGAGTTACTCAATTCACTGGAAACTGCATTTTCATTATGGAGACTCAGGGGAAAGCAAGACCTACGTAAAAAAAAAGGTAATAAAAATCAACCATATATGCAGTGCCTGCTTTGTATCTGACTCTGTAAAAGAAACTCTAAAATGATTAGGGTTGAAAAAAAATGATTAGGGATGTTTTGAAGATTGTCTGTTATAACTGGAATCTCCATTTTACAGATAAAGGCTCACAGATTAGGTTATTCACCTAAAATGAAATGGCCCAATAACAGCAGAATTGGAATTATAACTTCAGACTTTATAATGCCAGAGCCTGTGCTCCTAAGTATAATACGTGTATGTGTGTGTGTGTGCATGTGTGTGTGTGTGTGTGTGTGTGTGAGACAGACAGAGACAGAGACAGAGACAGAGAGAAGGAGAGACTGAGAAATAGGATAGGGAATTTCTGAGAAATGACAAGAGTACTGCCAAATATCCATCAACCAATAATTTAGGAACTCCTAACTATGCAAATAATTGTTAATCATAAGGCTGAATTAGGGATCTCTCACTTTTGAACTAAGAAATTAAAAGATTTCCAGAAGTTGAGTCCAAATTTACATTACATAAGATACTTATTACAGAGAGTCAAAGTATAATTCAGTAACTGAAGAGCTCTGAAAATACTGGAAGCATTCATATCAGTGCGGTTTCATAATGTGGATAATAGAGGATTTAAGAAATTGGCAGATGTACCTGTAGACTCATTTGTTATCATTTCTGTGAATATAAGTGAATAAAAATGAGAAAAGTGGAAATGAGTGGCTAGCAATTTTAAGTAGTCTTCTTAATGTCCATACTAGGAAAAACTAAGCACACACAAAAAATGGATCTTGAAATATTTTTAAAGTACTTACAAGTGCATCAGGTTTTTTTATATCAAATAACTTGGAGATATGAACTATAAAATAAATCTAGTTTCTGATGACAGAATTGTTGACTTTTTTGAAGCTATGTAATGTAACATGCTGCGATAACCAGGAAGTCTTAAGAAAAAGGTAGAAAACCACTACTCCTCTTAAAAAGCAAAATTATAAAAAGAACCATGTTAAAAAATATTTTGAAACAAATAGAAAATTCCCATACTGTTACAGAACTTTTAAATCTTTATTTGGTTTAATTTATAATAAATATTCACATGTTTACATAGTTGTCACAAGGTAGACACAATTTTGAAATCAGTTTTCTTCATTCTTTCATTATTAAACATCCTAGTTTGCTGCATTGTCTTGTAATTATAATAACTATAATTTTCTACAAAGGAGATAAAATTAACTAAAACATTCCCCTATTGTTGACTATTAAAGATGTTTCAAATTTTGTTATTAGAAATGACACGACATGGGGCGCCTGGGTGGCTCAGTCGTTGGGCGTCTGCCTTCGGTTCAGGTCATGATCCCGGGGTCCTGGGATTGAGCTCCGCATCGGGCTCCCTGCTCCTTGGGAAGCCTGCTTCTCCCTCTCCCACTCCCCC